GGATAAAGCCACCGAGGGCTCGAACATAATTTCCATCGATTCCCCCGTTGACGAATCTTATATATTTGACAACGAGCAGCAAGCGGACCAACGATGAGGTATCCGAAAGCTGAATGATTATTTTCAGTGTCTCTGGTACCGCTGTCCGGCTCTAGCTTCGATGGAATCCATTAACGATCGGGGCAGGCTTCTCGTTAACAAGATTGCCGACGGAAAGTCGATAGTTAATTACGCAAACGAAGGGATCTCGTTAAGGGTCGCCGCGACCGTTCTCGATCCGAGAGGAGGAGGCCGAACCGCGATCGACCGAGCACCAGCCTACGATCGATTTCGTCCACTCCCGCCCGGATCATGTCCACGTTAATTATTTCGCTTTATTAACTTTCTTCGCGGTGGAGAAAATAATCGAGAACATCGTACGGATCATTATTAATTTCCGTACACCAAGAATAGGATCACTTACCACCTCCTGTCGTTCAGATTTCCGACGTAGCTTTCGAAAATCCCGATTCTCGCCACGTGTCTCATTGTCGGCCTCCTTAATTAACCTGGGTATTCGTGAACGTGTACAAACGAGGAGTTCGTAAGAGGTGTAGAACCGCGGTGTGGGCCTATGAAGGGGGACACGAATAAGTGGAAATCGACAAAGGGAGGCGCGTAATATATCCAACGTGTCGCGGTGACGCGCCGCCGGAAGGGATTTAAGGGGTGAAGCCGAGAAGGAGGGTTAAATCGACGAAACGCGTCGGAGCACAAAGGGAACGGTTGAAGCCCGCTCGCGCGAACAGAGAGACGGAGGGATAGGGAAAAGGAGGATAAAGGTTGAAACAGACGAAAGTATCTTCATCGTGGGTACAAAGACTCTCTCAGGATAAAATGCCATGATTAAAAACTCTCGCCTCCCTTCTTGGACACGTGTTTGTACACACGCACGCTCGACGCCTCTTTTCTCTTCAGCATTGTGCCGGCTTTCCAACGTTCCGTTTCTCCCCCCACCCGCAGTTTTTTTCTCTCCACATAAAAGCCAGCCAGTCTGGAATGGGTTAGGAACGGAGAGGGCGACAGGTAGATTGTGGTCCATGAAGCACCGGTTTTCGAGCACCGGAAACTACCCTCGAATATTCGAAACCGTGTCCACGTGCGCTGCCAGATCGCTCGGGGGGTGGTAAAACGCCTGCTGCCCTGATTGAATTAAAAAGTGGAGGGAAAAAGGAAGGATAAGGGATGGTCGGGGGAAGATTGTATCGGATACGGAAATGCTCGAGAGATGGAGAGAAGAAGAAAAGAAAGTAAGTGGTAATCGGGGAATGAAATGGGCAAAGTTTAACGAGGAACAAATGGAGGGCATAACGACGTAGTAACTAGATTCTTTTTTTTTTTGAACTCCTTGGAAACTTTCGCATATTCTTCCAACTATCGTGGCCAATTCCACACGATCCTCTTTTTTCGACAACTAACCGTTGCTTCTCATACCAACGAGGAGAGTACGTCGGGTGTGACGTTGATTTTTTAATGAAGTTCAGCACCAACCGATAAAGCTTGGAATTCTGAAGTCAATGACATTTGGTTCAGTTGCATATGATTATTAACTTGTTAGATATTTAATTGTTAAAGTTGTTGCCTATATACAGTGTTTTCGAACCGGTGGTACAACATATGTATGTACAGTGGGGATAAAGTTTTCTCGGATGATGCTTCGTTTTCAAGGTAATCGATTTTCGAATGATCTGACACGTATGCCTTCGTATTGACAATAAGTAGAAACGGAATGCAACGAACGAACGCCGTTAACTCAGTCCTATTCAATTGCACGCGTATCTAGCAGATTTTTAAATTCGATTGTCTCGAAAACGAAGCATCGTACGAGAAGATTTTATTCTATTGTATATTTTTCACTTATTTCTATGTATACGTAGAATTACATCCCTCCGTGTTGTACCAGCAGTTCGGAAACACTCTGTATAGGCCACAACTTAAATATCTCATAAACTAAATGGTCATACGCAGCTGAAACAAATAACATTGGCTTTAGAATTGCAAGCTCTATTCACTGTACTAATCCTCATTGAAAAGTCAGCGTTACCTCTGGGGACTTCTCCTGCCTGTAAGAGGCTAGATTTCGAGCGGAGGTCTTCGATGGAGACCTTACACGCGCCTCACAGGGTCCCGAACAGCCAAAGGAAATGGTAACGCGGAACAAGCTCGTTAAAAAAAGAGAAACTTGTTAAAAAGGGATCGTCCCGCGGGTTTATTAAAGAGTCAATGGGGGTCGGAGATGGCGGAGGAGTCGACGACGCGTTGTTTTAATTACACGACGTTGGAGAAAAAGGTGGAGGCGTACCGTATTCTACGCGGCGACGTACCCTCGTGCAGAAACCGTAACACCTATTCGACCAGGTCGCAATTACGGCACCTTACGCGTGGATTTAATTATTTCCCGGGCGGCTAGAGGAAGGCGCGGCTGTTCCGTCCAATTCATTACGGCTGGTTCGTTCGCGACGGAGCGTTCCGCGCGGCGCTAAAAGTGCCGCGATTTAAAAAAAAAGGGGAGGGGGGTACGAAAGGGGAAACTCTTTGGGGAGACCCTTTGTGACACGTCATTGTCCGTTTCTTCGGATTCGAATATGTCGCGAGAATTGAGAATTCTTCCTCGCGGTTTCGACGCTTCCGTCGATCGATTGGATGCACTCGACTCGTGCAGTGATCACACGGAACTCTTGACACGTTCGCCATTTCAGTAACGTTCAATAGTTTCGACACTTTAGCTAGGATTCCACTGTAAATTCTTCCCAGACAAGAAAAACCATTGTGACTGTACAAACGATTCTTTTTGGAATTCCTTAACGTGTAGTCTTCTTTTAGTCCACCCATGATCCTTTCCAATGGTAATTTTGACGTTCGATAGTTTATACTGTTTCGTGTTCGACGATTAGTCGTAGTTGTTATAGATGCATGAACATTTTGATTCGCGACGATTGCTGCGCGTCGATACGACGGCGATTGTGTTAATCTTGGGGTAGAAATAGGACCGTATAGTTGCTTTCTCGATTTCCGGGATGAATTCCTGTATTTTAAAAAAATATGTTCTGTATTATCTAGAAAATATGTTTCATCGTGTGTCCCATTTAGAAGATGATCCTTTATATAATAGATCTAGATGCTTGGAGTTAATATTAAGTTAACCGTTCAGGCGTTAGCGGTATTCCCTTTTGGAACTGTGCTTCCATGTTTCACAAAGATCACATCAGCTTCGTTAGGATTTCGATGACGTGTGCAGTGATATAGACACAGTATTAGGTGTATCTACAGTGGCTGTATCACTGTGCAAGTCGGTACGCCATTAGTGGTATCCGATAAAGCTGAATACAGTCTATGGGAAACGTTAGATCGTATTTTCAGAAACCAATTCATCTTGAGTATTACTTCTGAACTAGTCTGAAATAGTATAATAAGTAAATATCAATTTGATTTAGACTGAATCCCAGTATGTATACTACTCTGAATCTATCAGAAATTTAGCAGTGATTAGATTAAATGTTTCCGTGCTATTAGAAGCTTGTAACCGAAAGTTTGTTCAAGAATTTAGGTTCAGCTGCGCACATTTCTCCAGATTTAAGACCCAGAGACCCCTTTTTTTAGTCGCTAAACCAAACAGGTTCCATCGATCCACTGGCAGGAAGAGACGATGCTACAGGGAAGGAGGGTCCAGCAGGAGCAAGGATCTCTGTGTAAAGCCAAGAATAAATATACTTCTTTGAAACGAATAAACTGCTTTGATATATAGTCTGATGTCTCTTTCATTACCCTTTCAGCCCTTTTCCCGTACAGTTTTATTTCTTAACGAAGGAAAGAATCTTCGCGTTTTGAGCAACAACGATTCGATTACGTATTAACGTTCTGTTTATTTGTCCCTAAAGTTTTTCTCTCGCATAACGAATTAACTGTGTCGTAAGCATGCCGAGAAGTTGACGCGTGCAGCTCCGTTCCGTGCTGTTCACTACGTTCACAGAATTCATTGACTTTGGATGAATTTCGATTGAATTAAATTTTAATGGCCACGTCGACACGTGACATTTTTATCGAGTCGTATGTATTGATATTCGGGCAATCTCCAAGCGTTTAAAGTCACCGAAGTCTTTTCATTCTGGAACTCTTCTTTCATAAACGAGATTAAGGATTTTTATCGGTCGATTTCGAAGAAGATCGGGACTGAACGCGTCAGCGTCTCGTTATAAATATCGTCGAGTGTATCTATCGTAGCAAAACTGGATGAGATTAAATTAAGTAACCAGACGAAACGGCTAAATTTAAAACGGATCATCAATCGTGATAAATGGGTCGATACAGATTTCTTTTCACTTCCTGTTTTTTTTTTTTTTTTTCTTAAGGTAACCCAATTCGTTGCAGGTCGTCGATCTACGTTCGCCTGGATCACGTGGAAACAAGCTAACCGGTGAGTACACTCGTGATCAATCGACCGTGCACACCTTTCGAGAAACCTTAACGGGACTTAATTGCTAGGACGCTTATCGTTAATTAATCGACCTCGACGGTATATGTGTGTGTATGCGTGTGCCTGTGTGTGTGTGTGTGTGTGTGTCAGGTCTGTATATAAAAACCACTGAAAATTCTCTTTTAACAGACTTTCTGTCGTAGAAAAACCCTCCGGCTCGTTCGATCCTTTGTTAACCTGCTCGATCCTTCCTCGGGTAAATGGATTGATCTTTTTCACAATATTAGAATAACAAGAAAATTCCCTTCCAATATTTTCCATCTCGATTCGTTATTCTACGAACGATCGAAGGGAGACGGTAGGTACATATTATGATTGAACGATTCTATTCGATCTACGCGATACAATGGCGGATCCACGGTAGTATACGATCACCGCGAGCACTGGTTAATAAAGACGAAACGATAGCGTCCCTTCGATAAGGAATCGACGATTTTCGATCTTCGAGCACCCTGTCGATCGGTCTCTTCCTCGATACCCAGGCCTCCTACAGGAAGGTGCTCCAGTAGACGACGTTCAAGATGAGGAAAGAGAACGGGAAGAAGAATCTGGAGAACTTGTCGATGTAGATCGCCGTTGCACGACCCTGGCAGCATGTATCGTACTGCACCGTCAGGGGCCTGACTGGACTCCTGCTCCTCTCGGTTTCGTTCCTCATCGGCGTCTGTTGAGATATTTAGATTAACTCTTATGAGAGACACACCGTATGGAGAATCTACTGGCTAATTTGTATAGACTGATCTCAATTTATTTCGAGTATGACTGTTGATCGAAGAACCGTACGATCTTTTGTCGTGTTTGACTGTATGTAAGACGAGCGAAGCGAATCGAATGTTTTAACACGACCCTTAACGCAAATATTGATTTCTCAAGGAAAGTGCAAAATCACGACCCGGTAGAAGTGTGTAACTTGTGGTTAGCACAATATACAGCAGGTAACAAACGAAACGAGGTTACACAAGTATAGGTAGGTATAATGGAGGTGGGAACGCGCTCTAACATTAAGAGCTACCTCGGATCTGTTTTTACGAGCGTGTTTTCACAGCGGAAAGCTTGATGCTGTTCAATCACAGAGTCGTTGCATTAGTTCCACGTCGTAACGCGACGGAACAGTATCATTAATTACCCGCAGCTTTTACTCTCGAAGTGGTAACGTTTTTGCATAACAGAAAAGGACTTTGTCGTTCTCCCTTATGAAATGAAGTGGACCAACCCGGGCGCGAACTGTTTAACGTAAGAAATGAAGCAAGTTTTCCGAGTGGAGGACATGAAAGGAAAAAGAAAAAATTAAGGAACCACGCCACCTCATTAAAAATTATTAACGAGGTGTCCCAAATTTCTCCGAAACGACCACCATACCACGGCACGAATTAAACTTGAATTAATCTCGGGTTCTCTGTTCATACTTTATTCAATGCACGCGAGACAATCTCTCTCCGTGGACCCTCGTGGCACGCAGCCCTCGTCGTAAAATGCAAACTCCTTCTCCGCGTGAGCCCTGTGGCCGTAAAACCTGGTACTTTTCGCCGGGAATTGCGTCAGTTTTTCGTTGAAACCTTGGCCCTTCGTGAATGTAAAAGAACCAAGAAAAACTCTGCGTCCGTTCTCCGTTGAATGTCTATCGTTCGCGAGATTCGACGCGAGGCCATCGAATCTCTTCGTTCGCGAATCGACTTTCGGTTTCTCGGGCTTCGATATTAACGAGCAGATCCGTTGCAGACGGCTGGTACCGTCGAAGTTTTGCCTGAAGTTTCGGTCGAGCTTTAAAGTCTACCCAGTTCTCTCCGTACGAACTCATTTCGACAGTTCGGGGAGTATTTGTTTCCGCGTTTTCAAGTCAGATCCAGGCGGAATTTTCAAGATCGAGCCCGCCATTTTGTCGAGGAACGAGGGACGATGGCCCCTGGAAACATTCCCCACACTATATCACTCTTTGCGTCCTTGTAACGCGAGTTGTGTGCTTTGCTCTACCGAGAACTCTTTCGAGTTAAAGTTCCTTTTCAAGCGAAGGCTGGGAGAAAGTTTCTTAGATTGTCGGTCATAAAAGAAGTCTGCAATTACGCGATGGAATATATGGGCTCGTTAATCCGTAAAATTGTGTTTGACTTCACGAATATCGGCCAGTTGGGGCTATTTCTACTGCAGCGACCGAGGGGCCATCGATGACTCTCATTTTGTCCGCGTCACGCGTGAGTCGACGTTCGTTGTATAGAATGTTACAGGGCCTTTGGTAGGGTACCATAACGTATGGGGAACGCTTCACGGCCCCTACTTACGATGTAGATACGAACAAAGGTGGAGTCAGAAAGCGTTCCGTTTCACGGTGTCCCACCATATGGCCGTTACGGCAATACGACGAATACTGAACACGCATAACACGTCGAAGCGGTGTCCAATGTCTTGGCTCAGTGGCTACTGTAGGAATGGCCCTAATCGGCGAAAACTCGAATACAGTAACAATTAAATGAGAATTTCTCTTTAAATATATAGACAATAATGTCCCGTATATTGCGTTCTTACATATTAGCCGACGAGGGTTATTTATAATATAAAAAAATGTGTTCCAAAATAAAAACAAAAATGGCATTTATATTTATCAAGCAGTAGATGTTAGCATCCTTTAACTAGGAAAATGCAATAAGTAAAGACTTTAATAAAATTTCATATCATTTGTGTGTTATTATTAACGTAGTGAAGTCTCTACTACAAAATTAAAAAATTTTGTATCATTTTAATTTTCGGATATTCGTATCTGAAATTGTGAATTTGCATAAACTTCCGCGGTCTATTAATCGGACAATATGTATAATCAAATCTCAATGCATACCTGAAATTCAATATGTTCTCTTGAATTTAAATAACCTCGAGCTAATAAAGGCAATCGATAAACTCATTGGAAAACAATTTCAACGCGAATTTCTTCAAACATTTTCTCTCCAGTTTCGTTCAAGTTTCCCCTCCAAGAACGTGCCCTCTCCTCGTTCTCGACGAGTAATCATTAACGTTCAATTTCGAGTTGACGGAATTACTAAAGCACTTCTCGAAACATTGAACGAATTGTAGGAGCTCGTTGCCAGCTGTAACTGAATTTCCGTGAAACCAGAAAATCGTACCCGTGTTTCGTCCCGTGTGAATGTCGAAACGTAATCGAGGACCTCGCGTCTCGATACCAGTCGTCGAAATTACGAAGCGATCCGTTTGCACGCGTATCCAAACACACACTTCAATGCTTTTCCTCGGGAAATTTACATGCAGGGTGACTCGAAGAATTCAAAGGCGAGAGCACACGGTGTGCTGCGTCCCTTAATTGGAGCTCGCAATTCGAGCCCGTTTCTCGACAACAAACACTCCCGTTTAAATATTAACACGTCAACCGCAAGGTTGCTTACGAGAATGTTTTCCGCTAAAGGGAAAATTAGCGGTGGACTTATTTTCGACTTAGGGGAGATTCGGGACAAACGTCACGAACGTAACAATTGTTACGAAACAAATGTCAATCGATCAACAATCGTCTACATTTGTCTTCCACCTCACTTGTCGCCAACACGCAGCAGTAAGCGGTTTTCTTAATACGGGTGGTATCCTATCGAAATAATATACCAAAAAGTAAGTTTGTATTATCTGTTTCAATTAGGGTGTATCTTTCTGTTCCAATTCCGTAAAATAGTTTGAAATTTTTCGTGTTCTATTTCGTTTCTATTTATGTTTATGTCTATCTATACAATGAATAAAAATATCATTTAAAAGCATCTATTGTATTAATTGTTTATTAGTCAAACTAGATTCTGTGTAATCGTCCCTAGAGGTTGGGACAAAAGTAACAAATGAGTCATTTTAAAGAAAATCTTCTTTCAAAAAACTGGTGCAATGTATTCCAAGTATTCAGGTTTGATTATGTTGTCCACTAATTAAGGTTTGTCATCGTGTACGAATTTTTAAAAAATTATGCAAATTCTAAAGTTACAGACTTTAAAAGACAAATCGATACGTTTCTCCCTGGTCTCCCCGCTATTACCAACTAACAAATTGTATTCAAATTCCTCCTATTAGTAAGATACTAAACTGAATTGTTTCTTTTACAATTTCCCAGGGTAAAAATTAAAAAAAAATGACAGTTTCACCATTTTTTAATATCGATCCATTCTTACACGATGTAACGACCTTCAAAGTCTTCGTGCCCGGTGAAATCGCAAGAGTTCATAGCTCGCGCGTGTTACTTGGGGCCCTAACTGTGTCAGGTGTTATTAGAGCTTCAGTTGTACCGGGTGTTGGTGGATTTTTAGATCCTCGAATTTTTTTATTTCTGTCTTTTGTCAGCAAGAAGAATTAGCTTCAGAACTGTCGGAATACGTTCGACGAAAAGCACCGAGAACGCGTACGGTCTCTTTTGTCTCGTGCTTTTTCCACGCTGTAATACTTATCCGCTGCAACATGTGGAATTCGGGCGCGGTATCGTCTATTTTTTAACGCGCAACGTTGCGTCCACGAAACCCGCAAACCGCCGGTTATTTACTATTACACTACGGAACGTATGGGCGACATTTCGAAACGTTTAACCTTACTAATTTTAAGTTCGAGATGCATAATTCTCTGGCGAAACGAGCCTCTACCGACCCCCGAACCGCTCCATGAATTATGCTCACTGGGCTGTGAAAACAGGCCAGTCTCTCCCTTCCGTGGACCCACTGCCTTTTTTTCCTCTTATTCTATCGCGGTCGTGACTCGCTGAAAATACGACCGTGTGCCTCCGAATTTCCAGCGTGGACCATATTCCTCAGGAATTAATGGGTACGCGAATTTGCGGACGATCTCTGGGCCAAAAATGTGTCAACTCTTTTCGCGGGTGAAACAGAATCTCTCGCCTTGTTTCTAGAGATCGAACAACATTCGGTCGACGAATAAACATAAATAAGTACGCTGACTTCTCTCTTTGTCATCATTTCCCTTGGAGATTCTTCTTCTGTGTACTTTATGTTTACTTCGTTTGTGTACAAGATATTCATCTGATTTCCTATTATTCGATCTTAAACCGTTTTTAACCCTCTATTTATTCCTAAATTCATTCATTTCGCGATTGAACTTTCTCTTAAATAAACAACCTTTATGTCCCATTACTTTACATTCTTGTATAATTTAATGTTCTAAGTAAATTAACACATTACCGACCGGCTGTTGTTTAACTTTTATCACAGAGAAAAATTACATTCATGGAAACATATCAAGAACTCTAATAGAATAACGTAAGAATTTCTTCTTTAACCCAGATCTAAAGGTAAATTGATCGGCTACTTTTATCTATATAATTTATCGAATCTATTAACAAACTACCCCAGTCGGTTAAAGCGTTAACAACGCTCAATAAAGAAATCGTTAGTGGATCTCAACTGCCAACGTCACGCTACCCGTCGAACCAATTATTCCTGTCGATTTTTCCTGTAATTAATGAACAAGGGTAAGTAAATTCATACTTTGAACTCGTCGATAGCCTCTCTGAGGTCCTCGTCCGAGTATCCCTTCATGGCCTTGGTGGCGACCGGTCCCATGTAGTTGTTGACGACGGCAAACTCCATCAACGAGAGGAACACGAACACACTGCACGAGGACATCCAGACGTCGATGGCCTTCACGTAGGAAACAGGCGGCAGTGATTGCTGGGACTGCGTGTTCTGAGTCGCTGCGGGGGCAAAAACGGAAGCGTTTCTCGGTCAATGGCTGGCCGTCGTCATTCGGTGCCGGGTTCGTTCGTTAGGTTCTTCGATTCGCACGCGAAATACCTCTACCCTTGTGCTAATATTGAATCACCGCCGCACGGTTCGCGGAACCTTTCCTCTCTCTCTCTCTCTCTCTCTCTCTCTCTCTCTCTTTGTGTACCCGCTCTACGCTGCGTTGCGTCACAACTGCATCGATGTTTCGTGAGTCTACTCGGCAATCAAGCTACTCCACGCGAATTTCCTCCATCGAAATATCTGTAGGCTATGCTGGAAACTTGCTGTCGAAAGTTTAGCGAAACGGGAACAACCGAGCGTTGACTTCAATAATTTACTTTGACAAATTTTCTGTCGATCAAACGCAAGTGAGATATACTAAATGTGCTGACGTTAGGTGGGACACCCTGTTTAACCCTAGATTACTGAACCATCGTAGAAATTACAACCTCGAATTCACGATTCTCAGAGATCGACACGTTGCCGTCAATGTGTTGTCGATGTATGTGTATAAGCTGTGCGGGAATAATTACTGTCTCAACTTTTTATTATTCTCAAGTCTGGCTATCGTAAATACTTGTAACTAGACTGCGGATTTTATGCATTTACAGCCTATATGGCCCTGTGAAATATAATAAAAAACAAAACTTTCATCAGATCCAACGTGTTTTCTATTTCACTCCGAATCCAATCAGATACTTCAGAGGGAGAATAAATTTCTACGATTGCTCCTGCGTTTATAAATTACTTTAAGAACTTTGATTTTGCATAAAAATCCGCAGTCTACTTATAACGTAGGTGTCCATCTCATTAAAACAATATAATTAATGTAAAATTTTTAGTAATATCGAATGATTAGTAATATCGCCCAGTCACAGGATAGTGTTTAGTAATTTAGGGTTAACCAGTCTGCGATAAAGAGCGTCAGGAAAAAGCCAAGAAAAATTTCCTTCGAAACGATCAAAGGACGCCACAGTGATCGGTTCATCTCCGTTCGCCCCTCCCCCATATTCACGTCCCCGCGAATTGACTACGGCCGGAAAGCGGACGGGTACCACCCGCCGTCGAAACACGGCGAATACGCGTCGCCGTTTCGGAGCCGCAGGCGCGACGACCTTACCGAGGGTCAGCAGTGACGTCACGCCCAGGGTGACCCGGGCCGGGATCGCCTCCGGTTTGATCCAGAACGCGATCCAGGACATGACCACGATCAGAGCGGACGGTATGTACGTGTGGAACAGGTGATAGCCCAGACGACGACGGAGATTGAACACGATCTGTATGCACGTGAAGTTCCCGGTGGAGTACTCGATCGTGCAGTCGGTCGTGTAATTGTTCGAGATGTCGAGCTGCGGCAGCTCGATCTCCGGGTTCACCACCAGCGGGTCCGTCATGTTCCAGATGAACACCAGGTCCTGGGTGGTGTGCGACACTGAAACCGAGTAATTTCACGCGTCACCACACGAACGGAAACGAGGCACGCGTTAATCCCGTCGCTCGACCGCCCACTCTCCTTATCTCGTCCTTTCCACCACTACCACCCACCGCACACTCCCTAACTCCCTGTCGAGGTTCTCCCTTTGGTTCACATTGGACGTGTCCGTAGGGTGTTGTCGCAATGGCGCAACAAGGGACAAACCGGTATCAACAGTCGTATACGGGGGAAATAAATGCACCCGTTGGGAGAACTTTGAAGTTGGGAATTTCGAAATTCGCTAGGATTTCGAAGCTTCTATGGGGATCTGTGCGTTCGCAGGTGTATCTTGATAGATTCCCTGGATATGTTCAGTGTGAATCGAGATTCGTTTTAAATCCAGGCGATACCGTGGATCGGCTTTAGCCAGAAATGGATACAGATGCGGCTCGACGGACGGTCGAGCCTCGATTAAACGTGACTTTAATTAATTTACGCGGCCTGGATTTCAGGGGCGGTCGGCGGAGCAGGAGATAATTTATGGAGACCGCGGTGTATTTTGACAGCGACCCCGCTGAAATGAGGTATTTCGTGGTGGTTTCACGGGGTTTACGCTACGGGAATAGTATACGTACGGCTCTCGATCATCATTGAGCAGATTTGGGTGTCGTGGGGGTACGACTCGAACTTCATCGCGCAAGACAGGACGAGGGTCAGCCTGAAACAGTAAATTCTTTTTCTTCTCTCTCTCTCTCTCTCTCTCTCTTGAAGCAGACGACTTTTAAACGTTCTCGATTTCGTAGCTTCGTGCAGAGCGCTCGAGAACGCGTTTGCAGGGTAGCTGGAGGCCGGGGCGTGCCTCGAGAGGAAATTGCATTTTCATTAAAACGCACGAGGATCCTTACTTTGACATGTAAAGCAGGGTCTTGTCGTGGTAGAGCCAGAGGTAATGGTTCGGTATCGACATCTCGTGGAAGGTGACTTTTTTCGCGTTCTTGAAGAAGCAGTCGGGCCTCCAGATATTGTGCAGCCAATCCACGTCCAATATTCTGTACTCCTCGGACATGTTCTCCGGAAGTCGGAGCCTAGAGTCCCGCCAGCTTTGAGCCAGGAATATATCCGCGACGTACGTCTGCGAAATAATTAATTCTCACTTCATTTCTCGGGTATTATTGCAGTAACGGTTGTTTCCGAAATGAAAATGTTGCGCGCCACCGAGTGCAACACCTCCATCGATTTTTCCCCACCCCTGTACAACCCTCTTCGTAATATCTGCCGTCGCGTTATTTAACTTTAATTGTTCCCGCGGGCAAAAAAGCTCTCACTGCCAGAGATTTTAACGTCCGTTAAAAAAGCGTTTACCGGTCACCGCTGTAGCCCAATTTGCATTCGCATTAACGCGTCTGTGGCTGCCAAAGAGGTCCCCGAAAAACCTGTCCGCATGCGAGATTAGAGTATTCCGAGAGTGTTCCGTATCTCGTCTTCGTATCTCGTCAAAATCGTATGCAGAGAGGCTAAAATACTTCCAGTTTCAATCCCTTTAACCGCGTAACAGCTCTCTTCCGTACTTCCTAAACTCTATTTAAATATTCACGAAGAGGATGAAACGGCAACTAAGAACTTTTGAGTTTTAGAGTTACTTTTTCGCAGATGTCCACTCAGCTAGGATTTACTGTACGAAACGTTCGCCGTGAAACTTCGTTCCAAGCGACTCACCATCGATTCCTCGTTTATGGAGTCGAGGCTGAGCACCGTGACGTGGAAGTAGACGATAGTAGGCTGACCCAGGAACTTCGGCGCCCTGTGTTTGTCGTACTGCTTCGGGTTCAACGGCAGAATGTCCCTCAGCGACAGCGAAGCCTCCTTCCTGCCGTACTCCTCGAGGTCCGACTCCCTGAAAGAAAGCAGGAACGAGGAGAAGCAAGCCTGACACGTCGGGGAGGCCCGTGAGTCGCGCGCGCCGTCTCTCCGCGAGCCAATTTCCTTTTGCTATTCGAGTACATGCTCTAATTGAGAAATGCAGCGAGTGTGTCCTCGCGCCTGCAACTGATCTTGCTTCTATCCACTCATCTGTTCGCCTACCTATTCCTGTATATGTCTATGGTCTCGCTTCGGTTACAAACAAATTTAAATTTCTATCAACAAGATATTAGTTGTCTATTATTATTGTTACGTTTAGAATTTTAATTTTGCTTGGCTATCGGTACATTTGCAGACTATGGTAATCGAAGAAGGTAATTATTCTTCCCTTCACACCTCGGTCCTATATCTGTCCCAGTTGCCGGTGTCTCTTTCACCTGTCCGTAGCATTCCCCGCCTGTATTATTTCGGACGACTCGCGCGTTAGCTACTTGTTTATGTATAGAATATGGTAATCGAGTGGAAAATGCACCAACAACGTCGTAGGACCGCGTATCCTAGCGAAACGCGGTCCTCGTCTCTATTTCGCTGTTTTATTAAATCCCAAATCATCCTTCCCGCCTTACTATTTCCCGCCGGCTATTTTCGGGACCAACGGTTACACTCGATTGTGAATAAAACAGACGAGATTAAAATTTCACTTGGTAATAAGTTTCCGGTCTTGTTCGGATAACTCGAGGCCGAATGATCTTATTTCGATTTTACATGGAATCGGTTCGCGACGTGGTGCTTCGAGGAGAACGAAAGAAAAACAAAAAAGAAATGTCCGCTGCGATATGCAACGTGGCGATGATAAATATCGAGAGCAGCCAGCGCAGCGCGTAAAGGAAGTCCACGAACGGTGCGAGTGACTCGGAAATATTGGCGCGATTCCGATGAAACAGCAATATCGCAGAAGCCATAATAGGTCTTCGTGCTCGGCACACCTTTAAGTCCGGCCGAGATACGCGTGTTCCTTACATGCGGACGTTTTAATATGCTAACCTACGACCTCCGTATCCGCTCGCCCACTTCCCTCCCTTCCCTGAGAATTTTCCCCGGTTTATTTCGCCCGCAATTTCCACCCCTGGGTTGATTTACGATCCGCTCGACCGACCGGACGAGCTTTCGTTATGGCTTCAATTTCAGAAAACTGGCGCAACACCTCGAGAGATCGGGCGAAATTCAACGCGTGGGACATCCGAGAAACCGTTCGGCGTTTCTCCGAACCCTTTTGCACGTCAGCATCGGAGAGAGGGCACAGGTGAAACGACAGGTGAGGACTGTTCGGTGTATTGTAAATGACTGTACGAACTACGGTGGTAGTCAGTTACCGCATGGACCATTGGTTATATTTGTCTGTTTGTGTATTTCTGATACCCAAAGTCTGATTTAGAATACGAATTGTATGAATATTAACGCTAGATTAACCGGAGATTCGTCAAAGGTAAGAATTTTCTACGATGTGAAATCCATCGAAAGTGAAGGTACGCCGAGAAGTAAACGCGAATCGCGATTGTTAAACCGATAAGAATCGGTTCCCCCGATCGACGTATGTTGATCCATCCACGGCGACTGGAGTGGCCGGGGCTGTCAAACGCGTCGTGGCGCCTTATAAGCGCCGTGAAACCTGCCAACCCGATAATCCATAACAAGACTTTCGAGGAATTTCTCCCGATCGCTTCCTGGCTGGCGTCGCGTCAATCGCGACATTATTACGATTCTTTCGAGCCAGAAACGCGTCGCTTCGGAATTCAGGCTACCGTTTCGTGGCCTCCTACAACATACTGTCTCGACGACTTCTTCGATTAGCAAAGTACCAATTAACATGACGATCATCGAAAGATTACCTGTACTCGCGAAAATCGTATCGACGCTCCGTAACAAACGATTCCCAGAAAAATCGGGGGATAGGGTCATTAAATAGGACTCGTTTCGCGATGTCCGTGTAAAATCTTGGCAAGTCGATGAAATTTTCACGTGTTACTCAGCGTCGAAACGTCCTGAAACTACTTGGAGTTTCGTGCACGAAGCAAGACAGTCGCGTAAATAATTAGCGAGACTGGAGAGGGATGATGAGAGTACGGACTGAGGGTGATTTAGCTCGTCCCGCGATGAGTTTATCGCTAGAAACGGCGAAGAGGTCGCGGGAGTGTTTTTGGTGCGTTACCTTTCGATCTTCGGAAAGAACCGGTACCCGCGCTTTCTCGCCGAAAGTCGAAACGTACTGGACGATAGGCTATCGACCTTAATATGCCAGCCTTCGACCTCCGTGGAAAGTACCGGTTCGCATATTTCCTCGCTGAAACTCGACAGAGTCGCGGGTGATGCTGGGGCAGCTTCTATCGTTGCCATTTTGCAACGAGAACGAACGCCGAGGCGACTCGATTGCCCCTCCCCCTCCCCAACCTGCCTCTTTTTCGAGCGGACTTTCAACATCCAGAAACCTCGTGTTTCATTGCGATAATGTTAAGTAACGTGACGACACTTTGATCTTAACACTACAACTACCAAAACAGTCAAAATGACTGGTCAATACACTCTAACAACTTTTGCACCTTTTATTACGATATGAGAGTGAAGAAATTAGTCAATTTCTAAATTTTTAAATTTTCAAAAGTTTTCCACGTTTATTCAGCGATCCAGGCAAATATGCGTTCAGCGTCGGTAGTTCTAGTGTTAATAATGTGTAAAAAAGTGATCGAAGCGATGAAAGTTCTATAATTTCTATTTATGAACTCACAGCTCCGTTTGTCTCTACCGATTTGGTATGCTGGAGCGATCTGTCCAGTGAATGAACATTATATGTATATAAAATCCAGTGAATAAAGTTATTAAAATAAGCTAATGATTAAATAATAATTTTTGTCAATTCCTTGTTACACGTTGAAACAATTTTCGCGCCATTGGTTAGAAATAGTTCATTTACTAAAAATCGTTCATTCACGGATTAAATCTGTTTCCTTTCCAATTCAATCAATTACATATTTCCAATTTTTCAAGTTCTATATCTATACAATTTTGTTCAAGATCTATACATTATAAAAAAGAGGTACATATATTAAGACATCGAATTTTCATATATGGGAAAAGTAATAGTATTATTTAAAATTTCACTTTTGTAGCTGCAAAATCTCTCAAGTATTTACTCATTGGTGCGTTCACCCTATCCGTAAAAGTCTGATTATCATAGAGAACGGTAAATTAAAGTAGATTGTAGCCTAATCGTCCGTTAACATCGACTGGAAGTTGGGGCGGGGGGTTCCGGAAGTTCGCAAGGTTCGTCCTTCTTGCAAGGCGGCCACGATATGTCGTCATCGATCGAGATAGACAGAGAAAGAACGAAGGCCCGAGAGCTTTCCCGTGGTCGTAAAAATGTCGATCGAAGGACGATCGGTCAACGAGGGGGTTTGCAAGAGGATGGGGGGAAGCTCTCGGCCTTCGATCAAGGCTAAAATCTCGAGTGTTTCGGTCCGGTCGCGGGGCTGCGTAGCGTCGAAACATGCTCGCCTACTCACGGAAAGTGTAGGGCCGCCATGTCAAAGAGCGTGTACAGGTAGCAGCATAGGATCACCAGAGAGTGCCTCGTCATTCCTGAAACAAACGTTCGCCGGTTGCTTCGTCAGTGAATAGCGGACGAGATGGAATTGCTCTCCGAATTTCCATGGAGGTTCTCGAAGGTTTCGCGGAAACGTTACATCGACATGGGAACGAAACTGTTCGCGGAGAGAAACTCGCGTCCACGGGAATCCATGGACGTTGCTGTTCTGGGATTCAGGTCGACGAGCAAGCAGCGGTTCGATTCTCTTTTCGCCGCGGTACAACGTCGTCGTTCTCGATTCTATTTTGTTTTCGCACACACGTTCGCGACGGGCTCGAGCAGCAGGAGCACGATCGATGGGAGCTGCGAACAAGTCATTCTTCTCGAATTGCGTGCATTTTCGTTGGACCCCGGGATATCGCGCGATGCCTTGAAACGCGGACGGGGGACGCGAAGCCTGTGATAGGCCGATCGGTACCGTGATTCGAAACCGCAATTTCTGTGATTCTCGCCGAGGATTCATCGCGAATTTCGTTGCTCGTCGATAGACCATCCTGAAAATGACAGTTAAATGGAAATGTATTTTCCTCGGTTGAAGACTTCGTCTCGTTCGAAATACGATAATTTGAATATTGAACCTTCTCGAGTATCACGATACCGGATTGATTATAAAATACCCTGATTTCAATCGAAGCTGCACAGTGAAGCGTGAATCGACAGAAAGTATTGAATTCTCTGTATCGATGAGCAACCGATAGAAAGCGCGAAACATTGACAAGCTATGGGCTCCTCGACTTACCGATCAGCTGCACATTCTACCGTGCCGATCTTCTTTGTCCAACCCACCAGCTCTGTCCTTCTCTCTCTTGCTCACTCCAACCCCCCTCAGACGACCACGCCTGGATCAATTATCGCGACAGCACCGTCAGCCGGCTTATCAACCGATGAGCCAGATCCACCGGATGGTCCCTCGAACATCCATCAATGTGCTGGGATCGTTCGACGGTTGTCGATCGGCGTGCACTTCGATCGCCGACCGATCATCGGTTCACCCCTGAACTGGATGGACCCGCTTGACGTCTCTGAGATACGGGATGTGTGCGACGATCGAGCGGAAGGACTCGTAGGACCGTCCCCCTTGCGTCCAGAATATATAGATCACTTCCGGCGCGTGCACTGGGAAATTTCGGGCCGCGAGTGCCGTTTCGAGGAAACCCCTGGAATAGGATCGGGGACGCGACGCGGGGCTCTTATCGACGAGGGGGTTGATTTGCCACTCGGCCACTGGCCACTGGCGGGGCTTGCTGGTTCTGTAAACCACCCTGTCGGTCGCTGCCTCTAAGCCAATTTGCCTATCGACTAACTGATTAAGCCCTACTCTCTTTCATTCGTGGTGGACGTGCAGGGTAGCGATGGGTACGACGACTCTCGATCGGTATCGATCCCCGTACAGTCGACCAGAGGATGAGCAAATTCGTTATCCAGATAAAGAGTTCCGAATAACGAATGAAAGATGAAAAAAGTATTTCGTTTCTTGTAATCGATTGAACGTGGAAACTCCAATTTTTATTCCTTCTTGAATTAGCAGACACTTGGTAAAAACAAGTATTTAATTTAATTGACCGTTCCAAGGGCATGGTTGTGATTTTACATACTTCTGCATTTCACTATGTATTATTCGAGTAAAATTCTGTCCAACTATGCAGTCCATTATCTGACACGCTGAAACTGAATCGAGGGCGATTTTGATCGAGGAATCGAGAGGTCTTGGCCATTAGGCAGTCCGTTACTCGTTGATCGTTTTTGTCGAACGTTTAGGGAAATTCTCGCTGCTGCAATACTAGTTTCAAAAAAGTTCGATTTGTCTATTAACAACGTTGTCGGCCACAGTGGAAAAGGTCGTATCTAGCCGGACACGCTATATTACGTTGTTTTTTTTTTTTTACGTCATGAATCGTCGAAAATGATACGTAATCGTCGGAAATTTCGTAACGGTGTTTGAATAATCCAATCTCTTTGCAATATAGCTGTCAAAGTGCTCAGGAATTTATTTTCTCGAATATAAAACAGACATTGACATTTCCTCACGGTATTTTACGTTATTGCAAGTTGGAAGATTAGTCAGGAGACTGTTCTACTTTATCAGGTGCAATGACCAGAGATTCGGTTACGAGTTCTTTGGAACTTTGATTATCGTTTGAAATTGCTCGAATGCCGCTAACCGACCATTCGATCGCACCCATCGCTACGCGTTTCTACTCTATGCCGTTCTCTGCCTGTCCAGCCGACGACACAGCGTTCTGTGTGTGCGTGTCGTACACGGGAATGTGCCTCTGTTTCCAGGTGAAAGTCCGTGAACGCGTTTCGACGGAACGAGATACAATTATGGGTTCGCAACAACGTAGCCGATTCACCAGTTTCCCCGGGGCCATGATGCTCTCCTCTCTCGTCCATGGTCCTTTTTCGGATTCGGGATCCGTTCCGAGGGTGATTTTCGAACGTTTCTTTTGTTCTTTGTCGCGAGCTGTTACGTAATCGGTGTAACGGTGATTTGTAATCGGAGCAACGGGACCGCGACAATTTTTGTCTTTCTCCAATGGATGTTTGTGTACTTTTCTAAAGAATCCTCGGTAGTCTTTGACACTAAATTGGTACAATCCTTCACTCTGATTTTCTCGTTGGTGTTTGTCGTGGAATTTTATATGACGGAATAATTTGAATCACCGATTTTGTCGGTAGAATAGAAAGTTAACGGGTCTCTCTCGTTGGTATTTCAATATTAGGGTTCGTTAAGATCCGTTCTAAGAACTTTAAGGTGAACAGACAAGCTATTAATGTTTCGGACGAGAAACTGCATCAGCGAGCTCTCATCTGGTCCCCTTTAATACAGCGTAGACGGATACGCTTCGATACGAACTCTTCCGGAATTGCTGTGGAATGCATGTACAGACAAAGTTCGAATCCGTGGAACAATCAATGGTACGTGATATCGAGATGCCCGTGTAAACAATGATATCCATTTCGAATGCTACTGCAAAGTGCCGCAATCAAACGAAGTGGCGAATCTGTGAGAATCATCTTCGTTCTTTAATCTCCTCGCACTCGTACCGAGAGGCTAGAACTATTCTATAAATCTACTTAACATCGACAACAAAGCATTAATTCGTCAAACAATCAATCTTTACATTTCTTTCATAAAACGATAAGTTGGAACCTTAATCTACGCATCTCAACAAACTTCGTAGCCTTTAATCGCGTGGACGAAAAATAGAAAAATCAACAAAAATAACAATTTCGCTGAATTACTTGCTACGAAAACAGATCGACTTCTAAAGAAAGTAATAAAGTCACGATCCAAAACCAATGAAATCCCCATAAAGCAGTTATCCACGTATGTACTTTACTCGCTTAAGACGTCCATTTTGTCCAATTTCCAGCGTCTTTACCGTCAAAGAAGGCAATCCCGTTCCCGGTTGCTGGATGTCCCCGTATAATAAGCGCCTTATTGCCGGTCGAAGGCCGTGAGAACGCGTTCGCGATCGTCTACACCCACTTTTCCGGTGTATCACAACGGAATTGCGTTTCAGTAGCTCGTTCTCGCGAGCGGAGTCTCTTGACTGGTGTCGAGAGGCTGGGATAATAAAATCTGCGCTGTCTCTCGAGCCCCCGTATGAAAGTTTAGATTAATTTTTTCTAGCTTGCAACGCGTTGTTTCCTTCTTTAATAACGCGTGTCCCAATTCCGTTGGAAACAGCATGCCTCCGTGTTCGAAGAGCATGTACAGTTGCTCCGTTTAAATAAAGCCGTGGCACTTATCTAATTTTGGGGAAGAAGGAGTCCATATATTTTTTCCTTTTAGAATTTCGAGATTATACAGTGGTTTGACCAGAAACGTTGTACACACGATTCTAAGCTTCTTTCACGCGATACGCAGTTTTCTGTGCGCAGCGTTTCAAACGTTATGCTGTATATGTTGGGACTCAAATTCGTTATTATTCCACTGTGGATATTTCTGGACTAATTTACTAATATAGAACATTTGAATTTCAGTAATTAAAGTTCCAATCATATATCGTATTAAATCATAGGTAACCTTTGTTTTTACCCTTTTCAATTTGGCTTCGGCTCACGACACTTTCCAATTAACATTTATTCTGTACATTATTATCCAATTTAAGATCTCGTAACCATGATTTCTGTACGAACTCGAAATAATTCGGTTCAGCTAGACCACCTACCGTCCGGATTGTCAGTGGCAATATTCAAGAGTTAATGTTCTTCGGAGCCGCGATAACAAAGTTATCCGCGGTAGTCTCATCTTTTCCTTTGTCGCTGTAAGAACTGGTTCGCTAGTTGGTGCATCGAACGTCCTCCAGTGTGTGTGCCTCTATGTATGCGTTATTGGATATACGTACATATCCGTACATGCTCGGTTATGGCGCGCACGCGACCATATCCACTGTATACATATACGCGAGTGTATCGATACCTACCCTCCTGGCTCCGGTCTAATGAGATTCACCGGAGGGCGCGAGCACAAACGAACAAGGTTCTCGAAGCCGATCCCATCGATCGATCGATCCATTGCGGATCCAAGAATTCGCTGATCGTTTCCGACTAAAAATTGGGGCCATCGTTCGACGCCCTCTGACAATTATTAAATTTAATCGCGACGAGAGATTTACGATATCGTTCCATCCAGAGAAATACGGAATAGAAGGACACACTGTCATCGAAGTTGAATCGAAATTTCATGGACGCGGTTTCTATGGTCGTCTACGGACAATATGTGACGTAGATAGTTTTTCTTCTGTCGTTTTCTAACGTTCCATTGCCGAAGGGGATGCCCCAAGAATAGCCCGTCTCACGAACAAGAATCGCGACTCTGGATGGTGAATCGAAACCGTATTTTTAACTTGTCATCGGGCACCTACTCGACGTGGCACCGGCCACTTCGATCAACTTCCGCGTCTCCACCCCATCTATCGTAATCTATCTCGAGGCAAACAAGAACTTTCAGTGTTCCTTAGAACACGATCGTACGAAGAAAT